GCCCCAAGCAGAGATAGCCACTGACTGGTTACTGCACATGGCAGGCAAGTTGTCAGTGCACAATGGGTCCCCTCATGCTTCACATATGTTCTGGTGCTTCCAACACCTACGGAACGCAAGAACCTTTTCCCAGTAGAGACAGTATTTGTTAATGATTTGAGTACTGGAACAAGCAAATTTTCAAGTAAGACAACATCCAGAGATAAAAATAATCCTTTTTCCAGATGGCTTTTCTTGGTGCCAAATCTAAGAAGCTTTGGCATCCATTCCTACATCCTTCTCTTCTAACTGTCTGTTCCTGACACCCATTTCATCAGCATTTCAGGATATCACCTTCTACTATCCACACTTTATCTCACTATATTTTCTAGCCATAATGGCTTAAACTTTTGGCTTTATTATATTGCAGGTCATGAATACTTTCCATTCCCTCAAATGCAGTTATCTATTTATGCAATTAGGTAGAGCTGTGAAAGTGAAAAAGTAGAAAAGCTGGTAAGTGTATGACAGTTCTATGACATTATCAAGGAACCAGCTGAAAAGAGAGAAATGATGATATCAGGCAGCAATTCCTCCTACAGTACTACCCCGTGAACAGTGTTCATGGTTAGTATTTGTAACACATCACAGTGACATACAGCTGCACAAAATATACAGCTCACCTGAGGAAGGTAAGACCCTACTGATACATTTTACATGCGTGACTTCATACTCATGAATTAATAATAAGGACCGGGAGAGTCAGAGTGTGACTTGGACTTTGATCCAACAGCAAACAAAACAAGAGGACACACAGTTCTGAACAGCATGGGCCAGTAGCAGTAGCCAAGGGATGCAGTCAAGGATTGGGAATACAGGAAACTGAGAGCAGGGGTAACAAGATATAGGAGAATACTGCTGAGAGCATCTGGGAAGGGACAGCCACATAGGCAGGATAGACAGTGAGGCTATCGTAGCTGCATAATGCAAGGGAATAGATAAACATGGACTAAACATGGGACTTGAGGTTTTGCAGAGAACAGTAGCTTTACCACACTGAATTGGGATGCACATACAGGCCTGAGCCAAGGACAGTTCAGCATGAAATCACTAAGAGATACCAGAAAACTAAAGTGGAGGAAGTGCTACTGTGAAAATACTGTTTGAATCACTGCAAGAAGGAGCGCACTTCAAACATCAGGCAGAAATTATTTCAAATATATAAAACAAATATAAAATACAGGCTCTCTAGTAATATTCTTAGAAAATTCATCCTTCCATAAGAAACCATGGAAGGACACTGGCTTCACAGTCAGCAGTCAATTACGTGTGGGACTCTATCTGCAAGGCTCCTGGATGAGAATGCAAACACCAACTGCTGCTACCTCACGGACTTGAAGCAGCTCCTGCTGACCAGCCCCTGCCTGCTGCCTCCTGCAGTTCTGTCTCGTATGGCTAATGAAGCTGAGCCTCTCTGTCGATTCAGTTATTCACCTATGTCTGAGAACGGAGACAATCCTTGGTCTTCATTGACTTGCTGTCCTGTACAAGATGCTCCATTCATAATGTCTAAGGTTCTTTAAATGAAAGCTCATTAGAGAAGTTCTGTTCTTCTATTCTTAACCTACAGCCCAATCCCCATGTAAGCCAAACACAGACAACCTCTTCTTTCACCTCATTCTTTCTGCAATGTGTTTAATTTACCACTTGGAAATATTCTCTGATTCCTTCGATACGTTTCACAGTGCATCTCTCTTCTATACCTGATATCTTCTACTACTCTAAATTTAAAGTAAATTTCCTGAGTCTCTTGGTTTCACTGCATACTTGCATTTCCCCTAGAACTTACCAGGAGGGCTCCTTTTCCTATTAAATATTTCACTTCTTACGAACTGTAACAATGAAAGAAAAAATACAGGCTGTAGTTTACCATATGCAAACATCTATGTTGCAGACAGTTATGATGTGCCTCTACAAATCATGTCAGAGTATATGCTGCAGTGGCCAACTACTGCTTGAAGAAGGAGGTAGGGCAAAGAAAATACAGGTAAGAGAAATCCCATAGACTCCAATATGTAGCCCACAGTCCGGCATTTGCATTTTTGGCCCCCCATGGCAGCTGCTGGTTTCACCTGGGAGCTGCCAGGTCCTGTCACTCTTCTCTCATATTCCATTGATGGAAGAGAAAAGGTATTCAGGTATAGAGGTTTCTCGGCCCAGAAACACAACAACTAACAGCATTTGAGAGATGTCAAATGGTTCAGACAGAAGTTATGACAATTCCAAACAAACGCTATATCCAATATCTGGCAACATTCTTAAAGCATAGAAATTGAGAACTCTGGCACTCTCAAAAGCCCTGTGCGTGCCTTTTGTTCACAAACAAGTGCCAGCTGGGAATAAAATGCAGAGATGTGCTCAGTACTGGGTCAGTGCCTCAATACTGAATTGGAAAATTTAACACCAATTTACTTAAGAGAGATATTCCTTCCTTGGAATAGCGTGATTTTAAAAAGTTCAAAATCAAGTCAGAACATCACGGCCCAGGTTTATCACTTGAAGTTACCTGCTGAGGCCAGTATCCCCATAATCCCTGTTATTGCTGAGTAAGCACTGCTGCTTTAGAGAGAAAACTCAGGATGCTGCAATGTGCAACAAAGGAAAATAAAAATAAACACTCTTGTTTCCCCTTCCATTAAATGGCCACCAGCACAAGTTAGGAAGAAACTTGGTAGCTTCCTCTACGAGACGACAACACCCTAAACATACTCATTAAAATACATTTTCCTTCCACTCTTGGCCCTGAAGGATCATCTCAGCTTACAAGAACTAAGCTTCTGTCTGATTATTAAATCATTTCTAAAGCAGATGGGAAACTACTGTGGTTTAAACAGCTAGGCTGAGACTGCATAGCTAAAAATAGTATAGCAGGCTCCTTTTAATTAGTAAGATGATCAGATATGACAGAAGAGAGAGATGTAGATATATGGATTTGTGTGTGTGTATGTCTTTAAAATTAAGTTATTACCTCAGTAACAAGTATTATTTATAACATATATGATACATGATGTCTGATTTTTATGATGTCATTTATCTTCACTTGGGCAAGAAGACAGGCTAACTCTGCTTTCATAATGTCAATCCTTGCTATATTCGAAAGGAAAATTGTAATAAGATAAACCTGCCACCGTGTGCAGTGCCATCATTTTTTAAATGAGGTGGATTAGTAAGTGCTCTGGTGCAACAGACTGTCAGATCTGCAATGTGTTGCCCAAAGCGAGTGCGGCTCCCCGAGGCCGACCCCGTCCCTTGGCGCAGTTAGAAGAGCCAGTCCAGCTTTGCACCTCTGACTCCACAGCCAGGAGCCAAGCAGAGGGCTGAACTGGTCAGGGACTGCTATGTCTACACTACTGCTGTTCTGCCCATGTACTTTTGAGGACTTCTCAAAGCTTGAATGGTGAATCTGGGAGCAGAATTTGCTACTCAGTGTAAATATATCGGCATAGTTTATTTAAAAAAAAAAAAAACAAAAAACTCGCCTGTTCCTCTTTCTGGCAAACTCTTACAAAGTAGTAAATATGCAGATGGGCACAGTGATATATTTTGTATCAACATGCTTCAAATGTGTGCATATGCATTAGCTATATAAATACATTCCTCAGGAAGCCTGCCAGACATATACTACAAAGCTCTGCATTTGGTTTGTGTGTGCATCAGAAAGAACCCCTCCAGGTTTATCTGCTATATGACAGCTCACACTTACCTGCAGTCTCTCCTTTTCTATCTGGATGTACAAATGTTTCATATTTATACAGTGTGTGTACATACATAGCATGTATATATATTAATATGCATAAATACATAGAGACACGCAAATAAAAGCATATGTACTGTATATACACAGTCCAACATCTTTGTTATAAAGCTGAATATCACAGCAGTATGCCAAAACTGTAAGGCATATCAAGTCAAAACATACTTGATACTAAACAACACCAGAACAACTTGTTGATATACCTTCAGCGCTAGCTCCCTGCTGCCCATGAACACTGCTGATCCCATCCTGCACCCCTTCCCTACCTGTGCCAGCCCTTCCCACCAAGCCAGCTGTGCTATTGCAAGAGGGGGGGCACCCCAGGATACATACACAACACTGGGAGCAGAAGGAAGCCAAGAATTGCCCTCTTTCTCTAGAAGATCATTAGGGCCCAAGTAGCTGAAGATCAGAGATTGGTGAAGGATGAGAGGAGAGGACCTCTGCCCACTGCCCTTGAGGTCTCACCATCCCATTATCTAAGAGGTTTAACAGTGTCACATTTCTTGCCGTTACCACATTCCTTTTCAGGTGTTGGTACTATGAGCAAGTCAAAGGGTATCATCCATCACTACTTACATGAGTACTGACAAATGGGGGCAACAGAGGAAGCGGCTGCAGTGTAGTGGGTGGCTATGTATGTATATATATACACATGGCAGCACGAATCATGCATGGAGGTCAGTATGGATACTGTTGAAATGGTGCTACTAGAATCATGCTCTTCTGATTCTCTGCGCAAGGAAAAGCCAGGACAAGTACTGTAGTGGGCACACAGCAAGAAGACATCCACCCATTTAATTCTGGAAACAAATCAATTTGCTTTTGCAGCGATGATTAGCTGGAATGAGCACTGCAATGGAATTCTGCTCCCCACCCACCCCTTTTCAGAGCTGCTATTTAGATGAGCTACGATACTAAAAGAGAAGCTGCAAAAATGCTATCTGCAAACATAAAGTTGAAATAAAAAGATAAGCATCCGCATTCCCCCCAGTGAAAAATGGAGTTCTGAAGAAAGGGAGGAGGGAGAAGAAAAAGAACTTACCACGCTGCGAGTGAACTTTTCTAGAGAAGTTCTACGACCTTGCTCATTCTCTGGCTTAACAGGGAATAAAGTGGGGAGAAAAAAATACAGAAAAAAAACCCTTCAGCTTAAATGCAGTTTTTCAAAACAGCAGCAAAATATAAGGCAGCAGCATGGGGAAAAAGTTGTAAAAAAAAATTGTAAAAAGCAGAAATCAATGTTTGCAATAGCAAACATAAGAAACCAAAACCCCTTACAGAATGAGAAACATCACTACTTCTACTCTTGGAGAATGTCACCTTTCCTCCCGTGAGTTTTTTGAACGGATCAAACAGCGTCTGTGCATTGCTGTGTCTCACAGCTATTGATATTGATTTCATGTTCATTGAATTTTCCTTCTGTAGCTGTTTGAGCTGGGACCTCTGATTCTGGTTAACATCTGCCAAACAGCTGATTGGAGACTGCCGTCTACTTACTTCAAGAGATGAAAAAACACAGCAACTTTTACAACATTAAAAAACAGTGTGTGAGTGAATACAGTGCTGGAAGGAAAATCCTATCGAACTCATTGCCAGGGAACTATGTACTCCTCTACTTATCCAGAGGATACAAGCAGATTTCCAGTACGGTTGGCTACATCAAAACATGAGACAGCGTACATGTCAGTGCAAGGCCATGGAAAGACACAAGCCAATTTGGGGCACTGATATTTTTCTATCTGTGTCCAGGACTATTGATATGCAAGAAGACATTCAACTTCACTGCAAGAAGACAAGTGTACATATCATGGCTCTATTAATATATCCATGAGAAGTCTGCTCACCATCACGTTTCATTCATTCGACAACAAGGAGATCTAATTGTCATTAAAAAGGAACTAAATAATTTATTGTCATGTATGTTGGCATATCTAGTAGATAAAAATTGTTATGGAACTGAGAAAAAACTCAATAATATGAAGCAAAGCTCACTGCAGTCAGAAAACTGTGAGCATTGGTGATTTCCAGGAGAGAAAACTATTTCAGTATGGTGAGTCGGTGAAATGGAGATAATGAGATGGAAGTAAAATGGCAGTGAAGGGGATAAGAAGCTATTTTTAAGGGAAAGCCACAGTAAAGAAGGTGCATGATACTGCATTGGAAATAAGCATGGCACTGGAGCTCCTCATCAGATGATGTATTAAAATATTGGAGAGTGGCAGCTCATTGCACCTTGCCTGTGAGCCCCAAAGCAGGGGATGGGTGGGAAGGGAACAACAATAAGAACAACAAAATAGGGTGAGGGGGTCCCCTGGGAAGAGCTCCCACAGAGACCTCTGACAGAGAGCTAGAAGAAATGCCAGCAGGAAACACATTTTCAGCAATGCTCTTACTGTGATCACGCTCAGCTTTTCCTGTAGATGCAGCACATTTGGGCTGCTCCATGTTGTGGCCCTGGTACTGTGGGAACAGGGACATCAGTTCTCATCCTCTGTGACAGATATCACCTCAGCCAGTGCTGAGAACAGAGCCAAGGCACACAAGACAGGCTCTGTGACTGGTGGGGAGGCAAGGACATACCCTGGCTGCCACGAGGACAAATGCACAATTTCACCCAGGAAAATAAACACCTTGACAAAAGACAGTGCTCTGCTAGGCTCCGTGGAGCAAGGTGCTGAGAGTCTGCAGCATCACATTGCTGCAGGCTGAAAAACTGGCCCATTTAAGCTGAAGCATTGGAGTGCACTGGCGACAAAGGGGATCAAGCTGATGAAGCTGGTCTGCACAGTCTCCCTGTACCTACTGCCAAAATGCAGTGTCTTTTTTCTTGCTTCAAGCACGGTGAAGCAGCTTCCAGCCTTGCACAAATGCAGGGTGGTGGTCTCCAAGAATGCTGAGCACCCCACTGTGTGCGAAGAGCTCATCTAGCACAGGTCATCGCATGTGAGGCCATTTTCCTACCACAGCTGAGGACACTGTGGGGAAGCAGGCACAGGTCACCCCAAAGCACAGATGTGCCCCATAGAAACGCCTTGCAAGCACAGGCTGCAGCAACGCCGTGTCTTGGCATGGGGACAGGAGGCTGGGACCAGCTGAATGGAACAATCATTCCCATAGCATTCAGCTCTGAGTCAAAGTGTGACATTCTCTAATAAAATAAAAAGCAGCTGAGGCTGGCTGGCTGCAGAGCGATGAGCTGGCACGAGTAGATTTCCTGGCAGTGAGCAAGGGTGCTGGTGCATGGCTCCCCAGCTTCCCCTGCCTTCATCCCACCAGCACAGGAAAGAAATGATAAACAAAAAATAATGAAAAAAAAAAAATTAAGAAAAGAGACAGGCATTTCTTTGCGCTGTGAACACATCTTGGGTCCAGCCCAGGAAGTGTTGGATGAGATTGTGGATTCCAGAGGTGCAGCACAATGGCATTTGCACAAACACACACTGCTACTGCAAAGTGCCACATGCACAAGCCAGGTCAGGCAGTCCTTGTAGGTGCAGAAAGGAAGGGGGCCATCCTTGCCTGTAAACACAGCAGCTAACAACAAAGGACATGAGTATTTGGATAAAGCATGAAACCACCACCCCTGCTGTAGATGAACACGTCAGGCCAGGTAGGTGCTGAAAAACAGATCTTGTCAATTAACCATTCACTAATTATTCACAATTTCCTCTGAGTTTTTCTTTTCCCATGATTATTTATCTAACCATCCTGATTTTAAGTTTCTTTGTGTGGATTCTGCTGGCATAGAATTGTGTAAGTAGAAAATCTTATGAAAACCAGCTGACACTAATTATTAAAAGTAATTAGGAAAAAATTGCTCAGCATCTTTATAGCATTCAAACCAGTCCTGCCACTGAATCACACTGGTCATATGCACCCTGATGGGACCAAGCAAAGATGGCATCTGCAGTGGGAGGCAATACAGAGAACTGGGACAGAGGCTCTAGATAAAAGCAATGCTTCAAAAAGCGTATGCTGTAAAGGCAGTCTGCCCTTCCTGGCATGAAGCTCCCAGCCACCACCTTGCTGACATTTTTGCCAGGGACTTGAAAAGGAATTAGAAAATGCATTCAAAAGCTCAGTCCTCTGAACTGCAGGTCTGCAAAATTCCTTCCTTCCCTCCCAGGATTCATTTTGTTGGCTACTGAAGGAGAAAACCATGTGTTGCAGAGGGATGCTGCTGCACGAAAATGAAGGGTAATCACTTCCCTGACACCAGTTCAGGAAAAGGCTAGAAACATGTCCCCAGCTTCTCAGGCAGCCATTTATACCTGTCCAATGGGAAAAAGCAAGGGCCATGGACAACCCTACCAAACAGCTGAAAAAGTACTTTGCATCTTTTTGTTCTGAACACAGGGAGCTCACCTTTCAGTGCCAGCTGATGAGGGCAGTCCTGCACAAAACCCTGCAAACACCAGTCTGTGCCTGCTGTAGTGTGATGAAGCTCATTCCTGCAGCTCTGCAGCCCCTGTGGGACACTCCTGTGCCTGTGGGAAGCCACCACATGCCAGACAAGAACACGGGAGCTGTAGCAGTTCAGCCACTGATCAAGCTGGCAGTCAGGTGGAGATGCCCACCAGTATCACTGCTTCGCCTTCTTTTCATGCACAGTAATGGAAAGCACCTTGAGGTCTTTCCTGCTCCTTTCACAGAATCAACCAAGTTGGAAAAGACCTTCAAGATTGTGAGGCCTCGCAATCAGCCCCATGCTCTCTGCTTTGCTCACTAGGAAGCCAGCATGCAGATGGTGAATGGGGGCCAGGCCAGGCCCTCAGCCCTTCCTCCTCCCCACTGTGCTACTTCCAGTCAAACCCATGCCAGAGGCTGACCTCCTGCTCCCTGCTGAGTGCCATGAATCTGCAGGACGGAGGCCAATAGTATTGTGCTTTTAATAATGACAATGTGAAGAACAGAGGGGAAAAAAATCCAAAACAAAATAACAAACAATGTATGCTTGGTCTGTATGCAGCCTATGTCCTCCACTACCGTACATCAGTTGTGCAAACAGTGCATCCCTTTTATCCTCCCCAGACCTCCTCATAATTCTGTCCTTGTATCTCAGTCCTGACCTGGAACTTCTCTTATCTCTCTCCCTTTCATTACTGCACTCTCGGAGCAGGGAGTGGAAGCTCACACATGTGTGGTTATTGTACAATGTGGAACTTATAGTGTTTTCCAAACTCCAAATCCCAGCATCCCAACAATGCCAAGCATCTTTTGAGGCACTAAGGAAGCCTTGAGATGTCTTCACTGAGCAGGTAGCTCTTATTCTAGAATAGAATATGAAGCAGAGTAAAGCTGAACTTTCTTTTCCTCCCAAGACCACACAAGAATGTAAATGGGGAGAACCAAAGTATACACATGGATTTTGTGGTTCCGAGTCCTGTGCTTTAGCCACACAGCAGCCTTTTCCCTTGTCCTGCCATCTCAGCTTACCACGGCCCAGTGCTGCAGGGCTGAAAATGCCATAAAACATAAACACACCCGTGAAATATTCATGCGTGAATATAAGCCATAGGCATTCGTGTACTCTGTGCATACAACTATCTCTGTCCAAGTCCACAGTGCTGTTTTTTCAAAAAAATGTATTTTCTGTATTGTAAGTAATATTCATATTGCATAGAGGCAGCATTAGGACACTGTCTGGTGGATAAGACATATCCATGCTCCAGACAGACATACCTCATCAAGCCTTAAACAACTGCAGTGAATTTCTGCTCACATCAGTGAAGCCAGGACTTTGTGTGCAGGCTCTAAACCAAATCCTCCACCCATGCAGGCTTTGACAGCCCTCTGTGTTTCCTTCCTTCTGATATTTACAGGAATTCTAAATGGATGCCCCTCAAACCTGCACCAAAGGCATTGATGATCTTACCGTGCAGCTCAATGCACAGAAACTTCATGTTCTTTCTGTCAGCATTTGTGTACCTATGCTGCCTTGGAAATGTTCACTCACTCAACACAATGCGACATGATTGCTAAGAGCTTGGCAGATTCTGGAGTAACATCAATTCCCCCCTTGCATAGTGTGAAGCAGGTGAGCAATGCATCTACACAGAACTACATACTACTGCCTTTTTTTGCACCTCACTATGTTTACTTGTGCACCCACAGCTCTTTCTAACAGAAACTTGATTCTTACTTTCACGGCTGTGTTAACATGACACCAAGGCCTGTTCCTCCGGCAGTTTGCGGGGGGATGAGGATGTCATGCTGACACATCCAGGCCTTGATCTGACAGCAAACAAGGACTGCAGAAAAAAGCCTCTGGTTTGAATGGGCTCAGCTGGGAGGAGAAAACCCTTCTGCTTTGAAGCAGATGAACCCTCATGTGTTCAGCGGAGGGAGGATGGGGACGGCATGCCAAAAGCTGATAGAGAAGAGGATGGCAAAGGTTTTTATGCTTTATACTATCAGAGGACTTTGCATTGCACTTCCTTCTTTCCCTACCGCCTCTGAACTCTAAGAAGACCTAACCTTTTCAAATATAAGCAGCGCTGCACAGTGCTGTCTCAAATCAGACATTCTGAAACAAAGGGCTGACTGCTGCCCTCCATTATCGGCCCCAATCCACCTGCCTGCAGTCCCAGGCATAGCGGACAGAGGGGTTTGTCTCCTTCTGTCACACTGCGCATGCTTTCAGAATACACAGTGACAATCAGGACAAAAATACCACTGGGATTTCATGGTATTGTGCCAGTGCAACATAATTTGGCAGCACACAGAGAATGCAGCAGAAAAACAACAGGGAAGATGGTGATGAGAAAACCCACGCTCAGGCTGTAGGAGCCAGTTTATGAGTGGTCCTGGAAGTCAAAAAGAAGAGAGACATACAAATGTTAATATGCATGCACATGAACACACAGACTTACAGGAGTCACAAGGTGCAGGAAGCACGTGAACACAGCTACTAGTGCAGAGAGCTGTAGATTACCTCCCAGCCTCTTGGAAAGGATGGACATTTGAGCAGGATCTGCCACAACACCAGGTAACCACTCCTTCATTACCTTGAACTGGGGGTTCCTGGCAGAAATGCCGTGCTGGCAAAGCACACGTGGGTGCCAGCAATGCTAAAGAGCTCAAAATCAGTTGACCTGTAAAAAATGTGGCTGAAACCCTTAATTGCTGCATAGGTTGCAATTATTTCCTGTCTCCAAGGAAAAAGAACCATCTTTCTTATGGCAAGAGCAAGGGAAAATGAGAATGGAAATCACTACAGGGCAGTCTAGAGGTAAGGCATCCAAAGGGAAGATCACCTGGTGAGGCCGAGGAGGCGAAAACCAGAATGGGTGAAATTTGCAAGACCAATTAATAGATTGATGAGTTCTGCTTCTCATCTGCATTCTCATCTTTGTCAAAGGAAAAGGCAATGCAGTTTTAATTGCCTGCACTGCATTTGAGAGGCTGTTGGGCAAGACAAGCAAATTTCTGGATTTTTTTTTTTTTTTTTGTCTTGGGCCATCCCGCTTTCCCAAAAACATGTGTTGAGGTTGTGCATACGGATGCCATACTCTGTGCCCCTGGTGAAGAAAACAAAAGTTCTCATTAAATAAAATTTTTTAAAAAAGGAAACAATATTTTCATTTTCACACTAGCAGCAAGCAGCAGGCGAGAATCAAGAGGTGCAAATAGATGCAAGCATGTCCTTTCCAACAGATACCTTCTTCTTTGCCAGCAATAAGTCCTGGTAAGCATTTGAACGGAGGAAGCGCGCATAGCTGTCACTCTTCATCAGCTTGTAAATGTGCTCCTGCGGGACAGGAGGAAATGAGAGACAGAGAATTGTTATCAAACCTCATTTAGACATCACAGAGATTTAAAACACAGTGAATTAGAAGGAGGAGAGACTGATCAAAGTCCTAATTAAGTCTGCTATTATCGATTATGTGTGTTGTGCTGGCATACAGGAGGTCCATCCTGGGGCAGGACCCTGCTGTGCTTGGGGCTGCATAAACACAAAGCAAAAAGATGGCCCTCACCCCAAAGGCTGGCACATATTATTCAGTAATCAGTGTAATTCTGTAATGACTACAGCTCTCAGAAATCCCCAGATCATGAGCAAGTGGCTAGCCAGGCTGAAACTACTGGGATGTCTCAGGAAAGAAGAAATAAATGCCAGAATTTGTCCCATGGATTAGGTTTCATTGTACTACTCATAGATACTTGCACTATCACCCCACCCTCTCATTATAGTTCATGAAGGGGAACAAATACTTGAACACATATCATTTCCTCTTAAACAGATGCCTAGAACAAACCAACCTATTCACATCCTGAAAAAGCCTTTATGTCTGGCTGACTACTCATGAAGTTTATTGGGCAAGTGCACACATTTGCACTGTATGTATAAGTTATGTCAGATGAGTCCCATCCACAGGGCCTTTTGACTCCTATTCAGTCAAACTGCTGATATTAGTTTGCTTGGAGTACATCCTCTACCTGTGTGCATCTTCAGATTTACAAAGGAGTGTTCCACTGCAGCAGAACCTACTCTTTTCCACTGCCTTGCTTAGTTTTACTTACCTGCAGAAAATAACTTAATTCTGTCAGCTCTTCTCCTAATTGTCTAATTGTCCTTTGATTTGTAAATGGATATTATCCCAAACATCAAGAAAATCAGATCAAAATACTTTGACCCAATAAGGACTGAGATTACATTAAAGGAATTCAAAGAAAAACAGGCACCCTAGACATTTTTCTTAGACTTTGCCCATGGAAGCATTCTTACAGAGTTAATGAACAGTTTTATCTACGCTGATTTATACAACGTAAAATATTCTCTCCTGCCCTACAGCCATTGCAGTTGAAACTTCAGAACAAGCAACCCAGATACAAGTCACAGAGTTTATTTCACAGTGTTAACGAGCCAAGCAAAATTCCCTTATCTTCACCATCACAGCCAATCAGAGATGACCTGTCTGTACAGAGAACTGCCTCATTCAGCTTTCTTGTGCTATTCAGTGCATAGTTCTAAGAGGGGCATAAATGCCACTGTTTTTTACTAAGATGCACAATCAAATGCATCCTTTGAGCTACAACCTGGCGTGGAACACTTCTTACCAGTTCATTTCATTTCCACAGTTGCTTTCAGACCTGTCAAACCCTCACTTGTGTGGCATTATCTATCTGAAGTATAGCACAAGATGTTGCAATAGAAATGCTCATATACAGTCATCTAGCAAGCATGACCCCTTCTCACTGCAGGAAAAAAAAGAAGTGAGGTCACAGCTCCATGCTGATCACCTCTGGCACTGCCAAGGATTTCCCATCCAGCTCTGGGACACTCCTTTTTACAGAGGGCAGAACAAGCCAAGCATGATCTGAGCTGAGGACAGGGAAAATAATGCATGTCATGGGTACAGTCACTGGCAAGCTTGTATTTCTCTGGAATGAATTATGATTTTCAGCATGAAATCACTCTCAAACACCTCAATAAAAGAATTCAATAGGAATAGAAATAGAAATTAACTTGAGTTAATTTAAATCAACCACATGGCAACCAGTTCATCCATACCGTTATCTCTTAAATTCTCTGAAGGAGACTCTACCTCCTACTAATACATTCTTCATAATTAAGTGGAGAAAAATAACCCTAACTGTATATCTAGAAGACTTTTCCTTCTTCCTCATAACTATGGGGCAGCTGATGAGTACCTGGGGCAGGCACTCTGCAGCCCATCAGCAGCGATGGGTCAGAGGGGTCTCTCAGAACCTCTCTCTTGCTGTGATCATCCCCCAGTGCACCTGTAAGGCAGGGTGCTGGAGGGAGCAGTGCTGAGCTGGGAAGGAAGGGGCCGTGGGGCTGAAGGCAGAGCAGTGGGCAACAGGGACATTTTGGTTGACATTTTGATAGACAGCTAATTAAATTTTTGACTACCTTTGGATTCCAAATGGTTTCTTAAATGGTCAGATAACAGGGTCTGCTCTGAAAGGCAAAGATAACATTTTTGGAAGACAGTGTTCAATTTTCATTGCCACACAAGCAGATCACATTAGGTGCTTGCACATAAAAGAAGAACAAAGCAGAGCAGAAACTGCTGGCTATTCAACCCTCCAGCATGCTGGCAACAACTATCAGTCTTGCTCATGTCAAGATGACTTCAGGTATTTGACCTTAAAACAGTATAAACTCAATATCTGACTGCTGAAAGGGGAAAAAATTACTTTGACCCTGAGATGAAATAAACCAGAAGCCAATGTCTTAGCTGAGGCCACTCTCTGACGAAGTGGACTACTGCACATTCATCCCCACTGCCACCCTGGGTAGGTAGCTGGTATGCAGGATTTTCTCTGCTTTTCACATCCTGGAATCACTGAGCAGCAACCCCGCTACCTTTCAGCTGTTCACCAACGACATAATCAAAGAGGGAATTCTTAGGCTTGGAATGCTAATGGAGAAAGAAGGCTGGGCATAGGGAAAGGGAGGTACATGCTTCAGATGCAAACTTTACAGCTTAATTGCAAGAATTCAAAGGGCTTGCTTTGAAGAAGTACTGGAGGCACAAATGATGCACTGATCATTTATTTTATAGCGCTTCACTTTTGAAGCACCTAGAGAAAATCTGAGCCAGCTGCTCAGGTCAGCAATGACTGCCTTCCAATTTGCAACAGTCCAGGACAGCTTACATTGCTGCAGCCAACTCCCTGCTGAGACTGCACCACAAAGCTTCCTGCAGAACTGTGGCTGCAGTCCACATTCAGCTCAGTTACACAACAAACCTAGCTGCAGGACAGGAAATGGTGGTGCCTGGGACATTTGCTCTGATCCTTAGCCTAGCCCATTCTTTGTCACCAAGCTGTTTGCTGCTATACCTTCTGCAATCTGCAACTTTCTAGGGAGAATTTATAGCTAGCATTTAGCAGCTCCTAATTACTTAAATAAATTGAAAGCTACTTGAGGTTGAGCAACTGAGCATAATCTTTTGAGGCAGCCTGAGCAACGGGCATATTAGCAGAGGTGCGTGCACAGATTTAGCTGCCCTGTGCAACATGTGCAAATTGGCTTGTTCCCTTGCATCACAGATTTTTAGCTCACCTGGGATCACAGCAACCCGCTGGTCTCTCACTTTCTAATTTACTGAGCAGCTGCTTTCATTCCTTAACACACGGTAGAGAGGGAGCATAACTTCACCAAAGACTGCAGCCAGCATCTCCAATGGTGTGCCTGACACTTACACGTGCTCCAGGACATACCTGAGGCTGCTGGCGATAAATTCAAGCCCTCTTATCCTTATACTAAGAGAACTTTGCATTTTATAAACTTGCTTGTTACAATGGAATGAGCTCATTATTACTGACTCCCTGATTACACAAAGCAAATTAACTATTTGTCTGATTTTTAACAATTCCTTTGCAGGACTCCTGCAAACAGAGTGGGCTTACTGCTGACCATCCTCAGTGGTGCTCCTGCGGTCCTGAGTCAAGATGCCATCCTTCTTGCTACTACCACTGCGTGGCAAACAGTAAATTTCTAAGGGTAAAAGGTTCTCACTTCTGTGAATTAGTGAACAAAGGAACCAGACACGTAAACCGCAGAAAATGCCTCTTCTGTGGTGTTACATGTAACCTCAGCTTCAGCAGAAGTGTAGGGAAATAAATGCTGATAAACTCCAGCATCTCTCGGCTTGTTTCCATTTACAAGCCCTATCTCTGGAAGGAGATGAAAGACAAGCTCTGCACATTTTCTTGACAAAAGAGGAATGGGAAAAAAAATAGAAGAAAGTTTGCAACCCAGACGGGAATGTGGGAGGAGGCTGAGATAGCAGAAACACCTCAAAGCTGCCCTTGCTTCAAACCAACGTGCTGCAACGTGACCAGGGCCCTCTTCCCCCCACAGGCAAAACACAATGACCCTGAGGAGAGTGCGTAGCAGCTGAGCAGAACCTTGGGAACATCGAGAAATATGTGGGAAAAATCCAAATGACAGAAAAATAACTAAGCAAACTGGCTTGCACAGAGCACCTGGTAGGCCTCTGGAAACCTGTTATCTATTGAGAACATTTATTTTCAGCAGAATATCTTGGTTCTTTTCTCTGAAACATGCACGTGATAAAATAGCCATGTTGGTAGTTAAACATAGCCATTGCTAGTCTCACCTCTTAGCCACTGTGATATTTTGTGACAGGTCTGAAGCAGGTTTTGCGGTTGTGAAGGCCAAGCACAATTTTCTCATGACCTCTGAATACCAGCTTGATTCCAGCGAGCCCTTAAATTTTAACTTGCTGAGGGAAAGTTTTCTCTGCTTGTGCCTTAGCACAGTTGTACACTTGGGTGGTGAGGGGGATAAGGGGGAAATGTCTGATGTCTTTGCTCACCTCAAGCCCACGCTTCCCACTAAGCACACCTGTAGCCCATATTGGGGTTTTACATCAGATAGACACTGGATAGCTAGACAGCTGTTGGGAGTCACCTGAGCCCCAGTGCCCCACTTTGTCATTCACAAACAGGTTGGGAACCACTTGCTGTAGCTATCCCGCTTGCATCCCTTCACCCTGCCACCAAGACCTGGCATTATAATAAGGCATTTACAGACACCTTTTTATGGTTTACTCGCAAGCAGGCGAACACAACAGCTGCCCCTGGAGCCAGCTCAAGGGATATTTGCAGCATGTCAGACAAATCCATTTGAACACAAGCCTCAAAGCAATATAAAGCAGCAGAGAAAACAACTAAATAAACAACAGCAAACCATCATGAATGTTCTACCTTTGCACTGGGGGAGAATGTTCTGCAGATTCACGCATGAGAGAG